CGTCAAAAAACCGATTTTCGAAACCGCCACACAAATATCGTAAAGGTTTATGCCCGCCACCGATATGGCGGCCAATATATCGGCCGCCACAACCGATATTTAGAACACTGGTATTAATCTTAGGATTAATATTAATATTAATATTAGTATTAGTATTAGTATTAGTATCAGTATCAATAATAATATCAGTATCAGTTTAGTATTAACCATGCATTACTATTACTGTTAGTATTAGTATTAGTATTAGTATAACTATGAGTATTAGTATTTTAGTATTAGTAGTTGTAGTAGTATAAGTATCAATTAGTATTATTATTATTATTCGTAGTAGTATTATTAGTATTACGATTAATATTAGTATCATTATTAGTATTAGTATTAGTATTAGTATTAGTATATTATTAATATTAGTATTAGTATTAATATGAATACCAATATCGGTATCAGTATCAAAGTCGGTATCGGTATCGGTTTCAATATCAATATTAGTATTGGTATCGGTAGCGGTATGAGTAGGAGTATTCGTTTGGTATCGATATTTGTATCGGTATCGGTATCGATATCAGTATATGTATCGGTATCGGTAACGATATCAAGATCACTATCGGTATTGGTATCGGTTTCGGTATCAGTATCAGTTTAGTATCAATATTAGTATCATTATCACTATCAATATCATCATCAACGTCAGTATCAATATCAGTATCAGTATCAGTATCAGTATCAATATCAATATCAATATCAGTATCCGTATTATTATCAGTATCAATATCAGTATCAATATTAGTATTAGTATTCGTATTTGTATTAACCATTTATATTAATGTTAGTATTATTATTATTATTATTAGTATTAGTGTTAGTATTAGTGTTACTATTAGTCTTAGTGTTAGTATTAGTATTAGTATTAGTATTAATATTAATATTAATATTAGTATTAGTATTAGTATCATTATCAGTATTCGTATTCGTATTCGTATTCGTATTACTATTCGTATCGGTATCAATATCAATATTAATAGTATCAGTATCAGTATTAGTATTGGTATTGGTATTGGTATTGGTATTGGTATTGGTATCGGTATGAGTATCAATATCAGTATGAGTATCAGTATCAATAGCGGTATCGGTATCGGTATTGGTATCAATATCAGTATGAGTATCAGTATCAATATCGGTATCGGTACCGATACCGTAGCGGTATCGGTATCGACATCGGTATCGATATGAGTATGAGTATTACCATTGCTATCGGTATCGGTATCAGTTTATTTTCAGTATCAATATCATTATTAGTATATGTATCATTATCAGTATTAGTATGAGTATCAGTGTCAGTGTCAATATCAGTATCAGTATCAGTATCAATATATGTATTAGTATTAGTAGTTGTATTAACCATTATTAGTACTGTTAGTATTAGTATTAGTATTAGTATTAGTATTTGTATTAACCGTTATTAGTACTGTTAGTATTAGTATTAGTATTAGTATTTGTATTAACCATTACTATTAATGTTAGTATTAGTATTAATATTAGTATTTATATTAACCATTAGTATTATTGTTAGTATTATTATTAGTATTAGTATTAGTATTAGTATTAGTATTAGTATTATTATTAGTATTAGTATTTGTATTAGTATTAGTATTTGTATTAGATTTAGTATTAGTATCAGTATTAAATTAATATTAGTATTGTACGTAACATTGTCTAGAGTTAAGAGTATGTTTTAAATAATGATTTTCATCAATTAAGAATCCGGTGAATTGTCCTATGTTATTTGCAATATCGTGTACGAGTATTTCAAGAGTTGTATTTCAGGGAATATGAAGATACACTTTAACAAACATCATTTATATATTATATGCATGCGCATGTTTTTCGTTGACTCATACATGTACATTTAGTGTGCGTTCAGATTTATTTTTAGTGAATAGTGCTTTTCCATGGGATATTCGATTATTCCCTTTTAGGACAAGGTAATTCTATGCACACATTCTTCATTTGCTATATATATATATATATATATATATATATATATATATATATATATATATATATATATATATATATATATATATATATATATATATATATATATATATATATATATATATATATATATATATATATATATATATATATATATATATATATATATATATATATATATATATAAATCAATCTCCACTCATGGAGTTGCTTGTGGCATTTAATTTGACCGTTCCAACGTTGTGAGTTTGTATTTATGTGGATTTTTTGTGATAAAATGAAATGCAATTGTTTTATTTATTGTTAGATCATTTTAAATTTAAATCTTCGATATTTTTTAATTCTTTGATTTTTTAAATTAATACAATTATTTGATCTTCGAATTAATCCCTGTTTGCAGTCATGGTCAATTGTACGTAGCGTTGTCTCGAGTGAAGAGTATATTTATCTATGTAATGCCTTTGATTTATATATTGACAATGATGAAAAATAACAGGTTATTCGTCCTCTGGTCGTAGATCTGATTGTAGTTCCGTGGTCTTATTTAACAACATTCAGATTAATGTGCAAGACTGGTGCATTACTTTGATTTCAGTCTCGCAGTTACTTGCTCATTTCAATGTGGATGGTGCTTAAAACATTGTCCGCTTATTTTTTATGGAGACTTTTGATTGATAAATTAAGATACGAATTTGTTATTTATTTTTCAATTGTATTCTTTACATTCTCGACATATTTTTTATTCGTTGGTTTTCTACATTAACTCATTCTAAGTTTTTGAATGAATCCTCCGTGCATCGCACGGGTGAGTTACTAGTTAATATATATTTCTGGGAAATTAGATGTCACATCTGGTTATTACACTGCATATTTGAACTGTAAATCTACACATAAATGCATACACTTCATGTAGTGTTGTAAATTGAAGGCATATGAGAGGCATATGCCATTTTCCATCCAACTTAACTGCAAAAATTAACAGCGGACCAATTCTGTCAAAAAATTGCATGATTAAAGACTACTATTGTAACTCCAAAATGTTTAGGGACAATTTTGAAAAAGTGGGTAAAGTATGACGACGAAAAATGTAATTTTCCCGAAATATATAATTGAGTTGTAATGAATAATATGCACCTTAAATTAATTTTAGGGTAAATTTCATTTTTCCCCTTTGTACTTTCGCTCGGTATCACTTTACCCCATTCTACTCTTGATTGCATCGATTTGCCCCCCTGCACTTGAAAAATTGTCTCAATGTGGCCCTCGATGTTAGTTGTCAGACATTTGACCTTAACACCGTTTGATCTATATTCTGAAATTACGAAAACGCCACATCTCCCAGTCTTAACAATTATTCAAAACAAAAAAAAACAAAAAAAAAAATAATAAAAAAATTCAAGACAACGAGAAAACATAGTCTATGATGCCATCCAAAATTTATTTTTAATTTTTTTAATACTTATTTAAACTAGGAAGGGTGGTTTTTTTGTAATTTTCAAGCTTAGATCAAACGGTGTTAAGGTCAAAGGTCTGAAAAACTAACGGCAAAGGACATATTGAGACAATTTTTCAAGTAAATAGAGAAAATCAATGCAATCGAGCGTAAAAGGGGATAAAGTGATATCGAGCCAAAGTACAATACGAAAAGTGAAATTTACCCTTAATTTTATATCAATTGATCCTATTACCACCCACTAAAGAGAATGAACATATTATAATGAGAACGAATTGTACTCCACCCATCATATGTATTATACTATGTAGTATAGATTTTGTATGAACTATATTGCAGCTTCTTTATGTTTATATATGCTTCTTTATGTTTATATATAGCAATACTCCGAAAATATCAAATTGGTGAATTATACAACTGCCACTTAAAGAGAAGGATTTAAAGTTCACTGGAATCCCTTTTTTGAAGCTTTGGTACGCAGATTTCCTGAGAGCAACAACAGAAGGATTTTTGGAGACAAATCGTATATTCAGTTTGGTAAATGGTATGAAATGTTGGCTTACCAAAATTTTGGTTCGATTTTACCGATTTAACATCACTAAATTTACCACTCAAGAGTTTTTTTTTTAAGATAATACATAGTTGAGGGGTGACTGTAATTACCCAAACAGGAGGGGGATTTCGTAATTTGACCATAACTTAGGGGGTGGCCGTAATTTTCCCTTTTAGGGGCAAATTTTATTTTTAGAAATTGCAAAATGGCCATAAAGTGTCCGGCAGGTGTCTTTGATTTTCCGACACGAAACGTTTCCGAAAAACAAAAAAGTTAAGGCTCTGATTGGTTCATGGATTTCAAAATAAATAAAATGAAAATGTAAACGAAAAGGAAATCAAGGACTTTTGAAATCCCAGTAGTGTTTGGTTCCTAAGTAAAATGGTGATGAAAATAGCTTTGTCGAAAATTATTTTCCTTACTTTTGTTTGGTTTCTAGGAAATAAAGGTGAAAATAATAATGAAGTATTAAATGGAGTAATTTTATTTTCTGTTAAAGACGTAAAAATTATAAAAAAACAGAAAAAAAGAAAAAGAAAAACTGTTATGCTAGAAAAAAAAAAAGAAAAAAAATTTGTTATGTTAAAAAAAGAAAAAAAAACTATGAAAATGAATTCAATTTAATAATTTATTGTTATGACGTGTGTGAGAGAAGAGGAAGAGGAGAGAGGAGAGAAAATAGGGAGAGAAGAGGAAGAGGAGAGAGGAGAGAAAAGAGGGGGAGAGAGGAGAGAGAAGAGATAGAGAGGAGAGAGAGGACTTAGGGAGAGAGGAGAGAGAGGAGAGAGAAGGCATGCGCTTCCAGAGAGATGAGAGAAAAGAAGAAACAAGGGAGAGATAGAGGAGAATTAAATGATATTTTCCTCACATTTTTTGAGGAAAAAACATTTTTCTAGTTTTAGTGTAATTGTTTTTCTACTTTTTCCTCTTAATTACATTACCTAGCACTTTACCTTGCAATCAAACACGAAAATCAATTTACCTAATAATTTCACTTTTTTACTCATTATTTTCCTTCAACCAATCAGAGCCTAATAAGTTGAAGTTTTCGTGCAGCATAGGCAGACGGTCTCCATATGTTTTGGGTTCTCTTCTCCCCTCCATTTCCTCTTCTATCCTCTTCCCTTGCTCTTCCGTGACCCTCCTCTCCTCACTTTCTATTCCCGCTTTGACAATTGAACACAAATACTTCAAATTTTATCACTAACCCATATTTTCGCTCTGTTTTCTAATTTTAAATTTCAAAAAAATAAGTCAAACAAATTTTTCCACTAACTCTGCTCCATAGATGAACGAAACATAACAAAAACAACAAATCAGAAATATTTTTTATTGAAACAACACAAAAAAAAAAAAAATTCAACAAAAGAGACTTCGAACTCTGTTCTTAGCTAGCCACATAATTCTTTTTGAATGTTATGCAATTCATTAACAACATCCGTCATGGGCTTCCGCTCCCTTGGCATTTCCTTCGAACACGACAACCCAATGCTCATAATAGAACACATGCAATCCTCAAACTTACTGTTATTCTGGTGAGGGCCTATTCGAATGAGAGGATCCATAATTTCCATCACGCGATCCGGCAATGCAGCTTCAACAAAATTGTGAAGATTGACGCGATCCATAAATGAATCATCTGTTGGTCTTTTATTCGTAAACATCTCCATGACAAGGATTCCATAACTATAAACATCGCCTTTTTCTGACACTGTGTTATTCGTGCCATACTCTGCAAATACGTACAAGATATTAATTAACTATAGATATAATATGGTGGTTTTATAAACTATAAATCTATAACGCAAGGAAAATGGGAAATTTATAGTTTTCATCCCTCAAGTTTGTAACGATTTCACATTTGGTTCCCCATGTTCACAAAAAAACACATTTGGTCCCTCGTGTTTCAATAATTTGACACTTTTGGTCATTTCCGTCAATTTGCCGTTAGTCCATCATTTACATTAGTGATGGGCACCCGTTTTATTCCATTAGTTTTGATGGAAAATTGACGGAAAGGACTAAAAGTGTTTAATTTTTTAAACCTGAGGGACCAAATGTGTTTTTTATGAACATGGGGGACCAAATGTGAAACCAGTGCAAACTTGAGGGATGAAAAGTGTATGTTTCCCCAACGAAAATTATACCTGGAGGAACATAGCCAATGGTACCCTTTATTCCAATTGTGCTGCTACTTTCGTGTGGTGGACGTACGCTTGAAATAATCTTCGATAGTCCGAAATCACCAACACAAGCCGTCATATCTTCATCCAAAAGAATGTTACTTGGCTTCAAATCACCGTGAACGATCGTTGATTCCGTACCACAATGGAGATACTCGAGTGCCTTAGCAATATCAGTGGCAATATTAAGCCTCTCAATCAAATCGAGATTTCTAAGTTGTGGATCGGATTCTGGTTCTCGTTCCCCATTGTAGTACAACCATTTATCTAAACTTCCGTTAGCCTTAAACTCGTATAGAATCGCTTTGAATTCATTTCCTTGGAAGTCTATACTCTCACAAACACTCAATATTTTTACGAGATTTCTGTGCCTTATGCCTCTCAATGCATTGCATTCTGCAATAAAAGTCTTAGAGGCTCCTTTCACGACAAGATTAAGCACTTTCACAGCTAAGTCTAAAACCGCTTGCCCATCATTATGAATGCCTTTATAAACCGATCCGAATCTTCCAAAACCTATTAAATTAGTCTCGGCGAATCCATTTGTTGCTTTGAGGAGATCCGCATACGAAAGCCTTAGAAAAGGGATTCCATTGAATGATGGCACAAAGGAAAGATTTTTGTTTGAGGCTCTTCTCTTGTAAAGAAAAATAACAATGCATAGAACCACGACAACTCCTGCTATCGGGATCACGATTTTTAGCGCAGTTGTTACGTTTTTCTTCTTTGAGGAAACTGATAACGATGAAGTGCAAGGGGGAAGGTTTAACTCAATAATTCCTCCACACAATTCTTTGTTCCCTTCCATTGAAATTGTTGTCCTATTTTCGAACACTCCAATTTTCGGCACTTCTCCTTGCAACATATTGAAAGACAGGTTCAATTTTTGGAGATGTAACTCACCCAAGAAACTTGGAATTGTCCCGGATAAATTATTCCTTGAAAGATCCAAATCGACTAATCCCATCAAAGAACTTAGTCCCTGAGGTATTTGTCCGTCGAATAAATTACCTTGCAAGTAAAGTTCTTCCAAGCTAATGCACGTTCCGAAAGAGTTCGGAATAAGTCCAGACAATCTATTGTAGGAGAAATCTAGGTTTGCTAGGCTTCTCAAAGATCCAACTTCTACAGGAATCGAACCCGTGAGTGCATTGTACGATAAATCCAAGGAAATAGAAATCGAGGAAAGATTCATAAGCTCTTGAGGTATGGAGCCGCTTATATTATTACGAAAAAGAAAGAACTCTAGCAAGTTGGAGCAGTTACCAATACTCTTAGGGATACCCCCCGAAAAGTTGTTCCGTTGTAAGCGCAATTTTGTCAATAAACTCAAGTTTCCGAATGAAGATGGTAAGTCACCGGTAAATTTGTTTCTTCCCAAGTCGAGCATACGCAAATTGGAAAGCTTTCCGATTTCGAGAGGTAAAGAGCCCTCAAAACGACTATTAAAAAGATCCAAGTAAGTGAGACCAACAAGGTTTCCGATACTTGCCGGAATCTTTCCACTTATTTGTGTATGACCTAGGCTTAGCTCCGATAGTTTGACGGAAAGATTGCCTATACTCTCCGGTATTGAACTGGTGAACGGGTTTATACCTAGATCAAGACTTTGTAGGTTCGTGCAATTTGTCAACGAAGAAATGATCGGGCTAATATCATCTTCAAAAGCGTTATTGGCAGCGTACAAGACTTGAAGTCTCGAAAGACGTTCGAAACTCGGCATAGGACCACTAATAAAACTGTTGGCTGTAAGTACCAGCTCTTCGAGCGAAGAAGCATTTGATATGGACAATGGGAAAGGACCACTAAGACGATTCGAGCCTATATAAAAAAGCCTCAACTTTGGGAGAGTGAGGCCTATAGTAGAAGGTATGGATCCTCGAAGATCATTCAAACCAACTCCAAATACGTCAATAGTGGATATATTGAATAGCCCTTGAGGAATCGTACCGTTTAAGTCGTTGCCACCTAGCTGAAGAAAGCTTAGCCTTTGAAGGCGAACGAGCGATTCGGGTATTTCACCACTCAAGCCGCAGGACCTTAAAGAAAGCCTTCTTAGAGATGTTAGGTTTCCGATGGATTGAGGAATAGGGCCGGAAAGTTTGTTCCCCGATAAGTTTAGAAGTTCGAGTTCGTACAAAAACCCGAGCTCCGGTGGTATGCTACCGGAGAGATTGTTGTCTATCAAGTCAAGATAAACTAAACTCTTGCATCGGGAAAGATTCTTCGGGATAAGGCTCGCGAAAGAATTATTGTTCAAATCTATAAACTCGAGCCTTCTTAAAAAACCGATTTCTTGGGGAATTCGGCTATGGAAGATATTATTTCGGAGATTTATAGTTTTGAGAAAGGAGAGATTACCTATATGAGGTGAGAGTGATCCCATTAAGCCTTGAGAGTTCAAGTTTATCGCAACAACTCGATTTGAGTGCCTTCGGCTACATGTGATTCCGTTCCACGTGCAAAAATTTGTAGTTCGATTCCACGAGTTTAGTGCTCCGTTTGGATCGACATCAATGGATTCTTTAAAGGCCAATAATGAAAGTAAATCTGTTTGGTTACTGCTGGAGCATGTTGTTGGAGTATATAAGGCAAAAGAAGAGAAGATCAAGAAAAATGTGATTGAATTTGCCATAGATTTTATATATGTGATTAGTCTAATAAGATCTATTAGGACTTTGTCCAACTTATGTTCATATATATAGATAGGGAACTTTGAATTTTCTTTCTTTCTTTTTATTTTTTTTTATGTACTTAATTATTGGTATGTTGATTCCAAGAAATAGGCTAACAGTTGTGAAATTGAAAAGGACATATACTTACTTAATAAAATAGTACTTAGTTTTTGTTTGGGATAATTACAGTTTTGGTCCCCCAAGTTTGCACGTTTTTCACTTTTGGTCCCCCATTTACCGCCGTCAACAAAATACACACTAATGTTGTCACATTTTAACACATTTGGTCCCTCCGTCTGTTTGACCGTCAAGAAGTAACGGTCAACTGTTGAATTAGGGCTGAATTTGAGATTTTTCATAGATAAAAATTGCACTCAGACCCCTGCATTCTTTTAAAATATTCTAAAAACCCCTAAAATTTTATTCAACCATAATTTAACCTCAATTTCATCATTTATTCAATTTTGACAAACGACCCCGATTTTTACCAGAATTTCCGCTGACGGTTGACCGACGTTGTTGTTTTTTTTTTTTTTTTACTTTTTTTTTCGGCAGCGACTTTTTTATTTAGTATAATTTTGACGCCGTTCACCGACATTATATTCTAGGTTAACAATGTTGACTTTTTTTAGTTTTCTTGATTTTTTATGAACTTTTTCTTGCGACATTTTTTTTTTCCTAATCAACACAATTACCGTAGAACACAATAATAATACTATATTAATATCTAGTATTATAATATTAAAATTACAAACTTCAAATAAAGTTTTTATCTAAAATTCTAGGGCCTAACTACGATTTAAAAATTTTCTAAAATCCATAATTTGCTCCCCTCAATTTATTCTTCGTGGAACCGCCAGTGCATCCCAAATTTCTTCCCAAAAAAATATGAAGAAGATGAATTAGGCATGTGCGGAGTAATTTGGAATGAGATAACCACTCTAGTAAACGATTTTTGGGGCTAACACCGGCCGTTAATTTTTATCTTTTTTTTTTGTCTTAAAATTTTTCCGTTATTGAGATGCGTTGACTTTTTCCTTTTTTCTTTATTTTGACTTTTTTTTATGATATTTTTTTTTGCCGATTATCAACTTTGAATTTTTTTTTAAAATTATATTTTTCCATTACACAATAATTTAAATAAAAATAATATAAAAATCAAAAGAAAAATATCAACGATGTTAACCCGACATTCAACATCGGTCAACAGCGGCAAAAAAAATCAATCGAAAAAAGAGTCAACCGAGTTATAAAGAAAGTCAAGGTCGGATTACCCAATTTTGAAAAATCGGGGTCATTGGTTAAAATTGGTTAATTGATGAAATTGGGGTTAAATTATGGTTGGATAAAAGTTTAGAGATTTTTAGAATATTTTGAAAGAATACAGGGGTCTTATTGCAATTTTCTGAAAGAAAAATCACAAATTCAGTCGTTGACCGTTACTACTTAACGGTCAAATAGACGGAGGGACTAAATGTGTTAAAATGTGACAATATTAATGTGTATTTTGTTGACGACGGTAAATGGGGGACCAAAAATGAAAAACGTGCAAACTTGGGGGACCAAAACTGTAATTATCCCTTTTTGTTTTCTTTGAGTTTTTTATCTATATCAAGTGTAGGTCCAGACATTGACATCAATATGATTAAATTGACAGAAGAATTAATTATGAAATAGGATGTTCACACTCAAATCGGGAAATCGATTACTTGACCATTTGTAATAACAATAATTTTTTTTCTTTTTTTATTATTATAAGGGTGGCGTAGTTTTGTGAGGGGTTTTTTTAATAACTACCCCTGTGTAATCTCTAATTTTTGAAAAACACCCCATGTTAAAACAAATTAGCAAGGACCCCTCTATAAAAGTTAGTCAAAGCCAATAAGTTCCCTAATGGCTTATCTTGCTCTGCACGTGCGAATTGTGCAGTTGTGGTGCATGTTTTGACGTGAAAAGACCTAAATACCCTTAAAATAAATAAAAAATAAAAAATTGCACATTAGCCCCATATTTTAATACAATGTTAGAAGAACCGGACCGGACCGGCCGGTCGGACCGGTCCGACCGCGACCCGCCACGAAAGCGGTCCGGTCTGACGCCGAAAACCGGGATATTCAAGAACCCGGGTGAAATGTGAAAAACCCGGTTCGACCGGCAAAACCCGGCGAACCCGGAAACCGGTCAGTGACCCGGGTTCTTATCTAAAACACTTCGCCGGCGATTGTTAGTGGCCGGATCTGCATGAAATTCGCCGGAGGTGGCCGGATCTAGGTGGAGTAGGCCGTGGGTGGCTGGAAATTTGGCGGTGGGTGGCGGAATTCGACGAGTTTGGGTCGTGGGTGGAATAGATTGTGTTGTTGGATATGGAGTGATAAGAGTGATAAAAGAGAAGAAGAAAATGGAAAAAAAAAAAAAGAAAAAAAAACTGGAAAAAAATGGGGAGAGAGATGGGAGAGAGGTAGGTGATAAGAGGAGAGAAGATGGAGAGAGGAAAGATAGAAAAGTAAAAAAATATATAATAAAAAATTGGGTGTGAGAAATAATAAAGGGAATAGTTTATATATTTAAAAATTAATAATAAATAGAAGAGAATGTGTAAAATAAAAAAATATATATAGAAAATATATATTTAAAATATTAAAATTGATAAAATAATTAAAAAATAAAAAACCCGGGTCGAACCCGGTTGAACCGGTCCAACCGTGACCCGAATGCTATCCGGTTTTGTGGCCGGTCCGGTTCTGATAACATTGTTTTAATAACGCTTGAATGAAACTTTCAGAATTTTCAATTCAGTCCTTGCCAATTTCAAAAACGCCCTCTCTCCAAATAATCTCATCTAGGGATGGCAATTTAACCGCCCCGACCCTCCCCGAAATTTTCGGGTATTAGTTGCCCCGAGAAAAAAGGGACGGGTATGGGGGTTGAACTTTTTTTTTTACCGGGTACGGGTACGGGGACAGGTTTGCCTATACCCGCCCCGTACCCACCACACATTGTTTATATATATATATAATATATATTTGTTAATTATTATATTAAATATAAATAATTAAATAGTAGTAATATATTAAAATTACCTGCAAATGGGGATTTTTAGGTATATGTTATATAATTAAATATTAGTAATATAATCAAATATTGGTTTGTTTGTTGAAAGAAGCCTTTAAATTGTAAATGGATTGCATATTTATTTACTAAAAAAGAAAGAAAAAAAATAGATGGGGATTTTCACCCGTCCCGGTACCCGTGGGGATTTTATGGGGCGGGTATGAGGATTATTTTTATAAAGTTCGGCTACTCTGACGGGATGGGGATGGGAATTACAAAACCCGCCCCATTGCCATCCCTAATATTATCCCCGATGAAACTCTCTAACATTTTCACGCACATTACACACAAATGCTTCCCGACGGACGGCACCCCTTTTTCGGACATAGACTAGCATATATTTTTCTTCCAGCCACTTTTTCGACATTATTTTTTTTTTCGGGCGGAAATTTTCAACGGACCACTCCCTTCATGTTTCTCCAGCGAAAAACCGAAAAAATTATAAACCAACTAACACTCTGAGCTTCAGGCTCTTTCCTGTATCAAACCAAAACAAAAAGGATATTTTGCAAGATTTGAGATTTAAGTTTTTTCTTCGAACCCTGGAAAACCCAAAAATTCCAGAAAAATGCTCAGAGTATACACTATAATTTCAAAAAACTTCTTCGCTACAAAAGAAAACCCCGAAGGTCCATTCCTTTCCTTTCTTCTCGTGATATTCTGCTCCAAATTGGCTGACCTCGGTGAAGATGGTGGCGCACATAAGATGATTGATAGGGAAGAGAAGGTCGGGGTAGGGTACGCTACTGAAAGGGGAAGATCTCGAATGGTACCGATGGAATTTGATTGCTCCTACAAGGGCACTGTTTTGTTTTCCGGCGATTGAGTCGGCATTCTACTGATCAAGAAACTGCGGGATACATTTGGGGGCAGTGGAAAAGATGCATTGGAGAAGGAAGGTAAGTTTGGGTGTATTTTTTTTATGTATTATGGTAGTATAGTCATTTTGGCTAAGTCAACCGCCAAATGGTGAATACGAGGTGGTGTGCTATATAAAACGCAATATAAGGGGGTCATTGCTAATTTTTATAACACCGGGGGACTTTCGCCAATTAAGAATAACATAGGGGGGTTTGTCTATTAGCTCGTTTTTTGAGCATGAGAGGATTGAGTATGCGATGTCAAATAACCCGAGTTTGAATATTTTTGTTAACAATTTACAGGTCTAGTTCGTCATGCAATAACTAATCCATAATGGGTTTACAAATATACATCTTTTGTATGGTATGTCAGTTATTGCACGAAAGTGGAGATTTTTCCAGATCAGTGCACCTGTAAAATTGACGGATCTGTAGGACCTCAAGCGCTGTCAGTTGTCCTAAAACCATTTGGTGTCAGGAAAAAGGCGCAAACCCTAGTCTTATAGTGCATTGAACACACACAAGCGTCCACGACATTCGATTGTGAGCCGCTCATACCCGGGCCTCCCCACGTGGACAATTGTTGCTAAACTCGGACTAACAATCTCCACTTCAGCAATTGCTAATTCAACCCCTCTTAAAAGTTTTTGGTCAAGTCTCCTTATTGACTCATCATGTAATATATTCTCGAAGAGCAACCATAAATATATTGAATTGGTGCGTGAACTACAATATGCATGTGGGGCATGAATTGTTGAAAGTAAATAAAAGATTAATTTGACTTTTGATTTATTGAAAAAAAAAATTGTTGTTGTCCATCTCATCTTAATCCATGCATATATGAGAAAATCTAATCAGCAATATCTGAAATCAATGATTAAAATCTATACACAACAACATGAAACACAAGAAAACAAAGACTGTTTCTTCAGCTAAGATTATAACAATCTTCTAATCTTGCCCAATTCATTAACAACATCTGTCATCACCATCCTATCTCTCGGCGTTTCCTTTGAACACGACACTCCAATACTAAGAACCGAAGCCAAAAACTGCTCGATCTTACTATTATCCATGTCGTCCGAGCCAATTCGAATGAGAGGAGCCACAATTTCCATTACACGATCCGGCAATGCAGCACTAACGAAATTATGAAGATTGACATGCTCATTAAACGAGTCATCCGTCGGTCTTCTATTTGTAAAAATCTCCAAGACAAGTATACCGTAGCTATATATATCCCCTTTCGTCGAGACCAAGTTACTCATCCCATATTCTGCACATAAATTCGAAATAATTCATATTACGAATAACAAAGTTTTAATGAATAATAATGATAACTAATTGAATTCGTACCTGGTGGAACATATCCGAAAGTACCCTTTATCCCGATTGTGTTGCTACTCTCGTGCGTTGGAATTATGCTTGAAATAATCTTGGACAATCCAAAGTCACCGACAAAAGCCGTCATATCTTGATCCAAGAGAATGTTACTCGGCTTCAAATCGCCATGAACAATTACCGAATCAGTACCACAATGGAGATACTCGAGTGCTTGAGCAACATCAATCGCAATATCGAGCCTCTGAATAAAACAAAGGTTTCTATCTCTTGCATCGGATTCTTGTTCTTGTTCGTCATTGTAGTACAACCACTTATCTAAACTTCCGTTAGCCTTAAACTCATAGACAATCGCTTTGAAGTCGTTTCCTTGGAAGTCTATGCTTTCACAAACACTCAATATTTTCACGAGATTTCTGTGTCTTATCTCTCTAAGCGCATTGCATTCCGCCATGAAGCTCTTCGAAGCCCCTTTCACCATAAGATTTAGCACTTTCACAGCGATCGTTTTCAGCCCGTCGTCAAGAATGCCTTTGTAAACAGACCCAAAACTTCCGACACCTACTAGGCTAGTCTCGGCAAATCCGCCCGTTGCTTTAAGTAGATCGGAATATGAAAGCCTCAAGAAAGGGATGCCGGGCAATAATTCTGGAGAAGGCGGACTTTTGTTGGATGCTCTTCTTCGATGAAGAAAAACGACGACGAGGCACATAATTGCTGCAACTCCTACTATTAATGGGATCGCGATTTTGAGTGGAGTAGATAAGTTTTTCTTCTTCGAGGAAACCGATGAAGAAGTGCAAAGAGAAAGTTCCAACTCAGGAACTCCTCCACACAAGTCTTTGTTTCCTTGTATAGAAATTGCAGTCTTATTTTTAAACACTCCAGTCGTCGGCACTTGTCCTTGCAACATATTGAAAGAGAGATTCAATTGTTGGAGACGTAGAGTACCGAAGAAAAGTGGGATTGTCCCGGATAAATTATTCCGTGAAAGATCCAAATCGAGTAAGCCCGTTAAAGAACTTAGTCCCTGAGGTATTTGTCCTTCGAATAAATTACCCTGCAAGTAAAGTCGTTCCAAGCTAATGCACGTTCTTAAAGAGTTTGGAATAAGTCCGGACAATCTATTGTTGGAAAAATCTAAGCTTGCTAGGTTTCTCAGAGATCCAACTTCAACCGGAATCGAACCCGTAAACTCATTGTAAGACAGATCTAAGGAAATAGAAATCGAGGAAAGATTCATAAGCTCTTGGGGTATGAGGCCACTAAGATTATTACGTGAAAGATATAATCCTAGCAACTTAGAGCAGTTACCGATACTCTTAGGTATAGCCCCAGAAAAGTTGTTTCCTTGCATGTACAAATTAGTCAACAAGCTCAAGTTTCCGAATATGGATGGTATTTCGCCCGCGAATCTATTTTCTCCCAAGTAGAGAATACCCAAATTAGAAAGTTTCCCGATACTCAAAGGTAGAGGACCTTCAAGATTGTTGTTTTTAAGATACAAGTAAGTGAGACCAACAAGATTTCCTACACCATACGGGATTTTTCCATGTATTAATGTATGAGCAAGCCCTATATGATCAAGGTGGATCGAGAGATTGCCTACGGTTTCTGGTATTGAACCACTCAACGGATTTTGACTAAGATCAAGACCTTGTAAGTTTGTGCAATTTGTCAACGACGAAACAATCAAGCTAATATCATCTTCAATGTTGTTTTTCGCAGCGTACAAGAATTGTAATTGTGAAAGCCCTTCGAAACTTGGCAAGGGACCACTAAAGTGATTGAAAGGAAAATCTAACAATTGAAGAGAGGAAGCATTTGAGATTGAAACCGGAAAACGCCCGGTGAGTTGATTCCAAGCCATATAAAGGAGTAGTAAATTAGGGAGAGTGTGGCCTATAGTAGAGGGTATGGATCCATGAAGACCATTATTATTAATTGCAATACTCCTAATAGTAGATATATTGAAGAAACTTGGAGGAATGGTGCCTGTGAGATTGTTGTCACCCAAATTAAGAAGTCTTAGTTTCTGAAGTTGGCCCAAGGATTCGGGAATTTCTCCGTTCAAGTCGCAAGACCTTAAAGAAAGTTGTCTCAGAGATGTTAGGTTTCCGACATATTGAGGGATAGCTCCTGAAATTTTGTTGTCACCCAAGCCTAGAGCTTCTAGTTTCTCCAAAAAACGGATCCCCGGAGGTATGGGCCCGGTGAGGTTGTTGTCGATCAAGTTAAGATAAACTAGATTTTTCCATTGGGAAATATTTTCAGGCAATATTCTTCCCATGAAAGAATTGTTGCTAAATTCTATATACTCGAGTCGTCTTAAAAGGCCGATTTCTTGAGGAATTCGGCCATTGAAGCTATTGTTTTGGAGATTGATTTCTCTAAGGAATGAGAGATTACCTATATGAGGAGATAGTGATCCAGTCAAGCCTTGAGAATCCAACTTTATGCCAACAACTCTATCGGTGTGCTTACGACCGCATGTGATTCCGTCCCACGTGCAAAAGTTTGTAGTTCGATTCCATGAGTTTAGAGCTCCGTTTGGATCGACGTCTATAGCTTCTTTGAAAGCTAGCAATGAAAGTAAATCTGCTTGGTTACTTGGAGTTATAAGTAAGGCTGAAGAAGAAAAGATGAATAGAAAAAGAATGATGATGGAATTTGTCATAGTCTTTAGGAGAGATGATATTTTTCGGTCTCTAGACCTTATGTTTATTTTTCTAACTTATATATATATATATATATATATATATATATATATATATATATGTTTTATTGGTTTTACCAGAAATTGCCTAAGCATTTTGTGACTTATTCAAACTCAGAGCCGACATTGTTTATGTTAATTACAACATTCAACCCATGCTTTTTCCTAGTCAGAATACAAGTTGGTTTCCGTTTACCAAGTCTATATATAATTTGTTAGTTTAATAATTGTTTTACCAAGTCCTTGCCAAGTCAGTTATATCGAGGTAAATGGCAAAAAATATCCATGTGTAATTGCTAAATAGCAAAAAAAACCCTATGATAAATAAACTAGCAAAAATTCCCCTGTGAAATTCAGTCAAAGGAAAAAAAAATCCCTGCTGGTTGACTTTCGTGTGGCTCATTCCCTGATTTTTGGACGTGAAATGACGAAATTGTCCTTCAAACTGTATTTATACGTATGTATATATTTTATTTATAATTTGATTATTTAGAAATTAAAATATTATTAAAAAATTAGTAAACAATTAAATGGAAAAATTATAAAAAATTTGGTGTTCAAATTAAGGATATGTTTTATTAAATATAAAATAAACAAATACATAATAATGGAATTTAAGTTTTGTTTTGATGTATGGATAATTTAAAATATATACATATATTATTTGATAATAAAATAAAAATAAAACACCCCATTATATTTTTCAAATTAAGATATAACAAAAATAATTAATTAAAATATCTAAAAATATAGGAATTTACTAATTGCAAAACCCCTGGGGTATTTGTGTCTATTTAGATCAAGTCAACACTCAAATGAATAATGGGCCCAGTGTGTTATATAAATAATTTCATAGGGAGGGTTTTTGCTAGTTTATTTATCATGGAGAATTTTTTGTTATTTGAAGATTACACAGAGGTACTTTTTGCAGTTTACTCCAATTATATCTCCTAATTTCTAGAGATTAGTTTGTTACTGGAATCCTATGTTTGTATGCATGCCTATATATAAGACAACATATCAACACATAATAATATAGGGTTAATAATGGACAAGATGCCAATGACAAGGGCACTTAATTAAAAAAAAGGATATTCAATTTTTTTGTCTTTCAAATAATTCCAGCTCATTCAAACTTATTTACAAATAAGGAAAACAATTTTATATATACCAAAATCAGCCTGAATTCCTTGAAACTCAATTTAACTTCAATTTCATAATTTACACCCCAATTTAGCCCAATTTCACCAATTAACCAATTTTAATCTGCCACCGTCGGAGACCGCCGGTCTCCGGCATTGACTTTTTTTTCTGATTTTCTTTTCCAGCTGGTCAACCGCCGTTGACCACCGGTCTCCGGCGTTGAATTTTTTTTTTCTTTTCTTAAAAAAAATTATTTTGATTAATATTACTGTCTTGCCTGCTAAATTACTGTCTCCAATAGTAATTTAACCGTTAATTGACTGTTTTTTGTGAAACTTTGTTTTTTTAAAATAAATTATTATAATTAATTTTAATGTCTTGGTTGCTAAATTACTGTCTCCAACAGTAATTTAACTGTTAATTGACTTTTTTTTGATTATTTTATTTATTTAAAAAAAATTTAATTAATATTACTTTCTTGGCTGCTAAATTACAGTATCCAACAGTATTTTAACTGTCTGAGACAGTTATATTATTGTATTAATTAATTTTATCGTCTTGGCCTGCAATTTTTCAGTCTTCGACCGTAGTATTACTGTCTTCGACCGTAATATTATTGTCTCATGTAATAATATTATTGTTCGGGACATTAATATTATTAATATTACTGTTTTGGTATTCTATAGTATTGTCTTAGACAGTTAAATTACTGTTGGATAGTAATTTACCAGCCAAAACATTAATATTAATTAAAATAATTTTTTTAAGAAAAAAAATTTCCAAACAAAAAATAAATTTCACAAAAAAATAAGTCAACGCCGATGGTTGACAGCTGGAAAAATATTTCAGGAAAAAAAAAAGTCAACGCCGGAGAATCACCCGGTTAACGCAGGAATCTGGCCGGAAAAAAAAAAACTAGAAAAAAAATTATTTTCAAAAAATTATTAAATTGGGGGTTGATGTGATATATTTGTTTAAATCCGAAGTCAGTATGTAATATTGAGAAAATTAGAGTATAATGAAGGAAATTGATTATAATTATATTATGGAGAGTATTTTAGACAAAAAAACTTGAAAATGAGTTTATTTAAAACACTATTTTTTGTCTGGAACAATGTGCATTTAACTTGTTTATTTTGTCCATCTTTGTCATTTGTCGAATAATATATTCAATCAATTCGTAGCCAATTTCCTTTATTCTCTTTATTATATATTTTGCACCTTCTTGCCAAGTTATTGTTGACAGATGATGAAGTATTGGTCTTTCTTATGCCTTTTTTTCTATTCGCGAAGTCTCCATGGTGGAAATATAGACACCCTTAATTAAATATTAATATGTTGAAGAAATCGGGTGTAGCTTTTGATAACTGTTGACTTGGCCAGCAATATTTCAATTAGGGCAATGATAAAGATATTTTGTTGTTGACTTTCTTAGCTTACTGCATTTCTGACCCTCTACTATATTAAATTGTCAAAAAAATTCCTCTAAAATATTAATTAGCAAATACGTCCACATGCATATGACTAAAACACAAAGAAACAGAGTTTGTAAGAAGAAAAAAAGTTAAATAACATTTGATCCCCGGTGGTTACAAGCTTTTGTAGATGGTTGATTTGTGCTTGTAATATCAGCAAATAACCCCCTTATGATTGATAAGGATAGCTTGCGTTATTTTTTTCGTCAAAATTAACTATGCGTGTCAAACGTCAAAATACTATATTTTGCAGATGTGGTTGACACTTGGCAGTAATATTATTGTGTTTCTAGTAATTTTAAAATCAACCACGGCGGTAATATACAATAGTGGAAAAAATACATTTTATGTCCCTAAACTATACCACTAAAATGATTTTTGTCCTCAAACTTTTGCATCCACGAAATATATCCTCAAACATGCCACTTTTTAACAATTTGTGCTCGACCGTTAACTTTGCCAGTCAAGTTAAACGGAATGTCACATGTGGGCACACATGATATCGACCTGGTTGTTAAGATTCATCTGGCTTACACCCTATGTCGATTTCGCCGATTGAATATGACGTGGAGTGACACGTCATTCGCTCCCCCTATTTCAATTATGAAATCCTTGATTTCTCATTACCCCAATTTACCCTGAACCTGATCAGATAAACACTACCCTCGAATTCCCCGTAGAAATGCTCAAATTGAGGTGAAATTCGGCATCAATAAGATTGCCTAATCCTAATTTCGCAAATAATTGAACATTTGTGGAATTGAAGCATCACAAATCGACCAACAATCTCCAATTTTAGTAAGTTTTTTCAAATTAAGTTATTATCTTTGAACTTCGGTTTTGGGAATTTAGGATTTAATTTGTTATGGGTTTATGACTTTGAACTCCGTATGATTTCGAACAACAATGAAGACCTGATTGCAAATTTGGGAGTGTGTTTACGGGATTGAATTTTTTTTTCAGATTTGATGGCTAGGGTTTCGAGTGTGAAGAGTGAAGTGAAAATAGGGGATCTCGGAAATTTTGGAATTGGGTTTAGATCGATAGATTTGTGTGCGAGCTCAACATTTGACGGCCACGTCGGCATCACGTGCGCCCCACGTGACAATTTGACTGACAAAGTCAACGGCGGAACACAAATTGTTAAAAAGTGGCAAGTTTGAGGACATATTTCGTGAATGCAAAAGTTTGGGGACAAAATTTATTTTAGTTGTAATGTTTAGGGACATAAAATGTAATTTTCCCTACAATAGTAGATAGTAATATTATTAACAAAATAAAAGAAAAACAAAAAAATAATATTAATATGGTTGACAGTAAGTCAGTAATATTATTGTGTTTACAATAATATTATTGTCACCGGTTAATGGTGGGCTGAAGGAAAGAAAAAAAAAGTCAATGCCGGAAACCGGTGACATAAAAATAAAAATTCTGAGAAAAAAAATTTTAAAAAGAAAAGGCCAAAATTGGATTTTTTTAATCAAAATTGATGAAATTGAAGTTAAATTAGACTTACAATTAAAAATTAAATTTAAAGCATCGAGGGTAATTTTATCATTACATTAATTTTGTCTTTATTTACTACTACACATATTAAGGGATGAACTTATTTCCATAAAAAGTATACCACCTAAATCTAGAATAATAAATATAGTTGGCCAACGACCTCCTCACAAAAACCCATAAAACTTTATATTGTTTTTTTTTTTCCAAATTGAAAAGAATATAAATATAATTTACCCTATAAAATATTATTATATAGGTTTCACTAATTCTTTCAATTCCCATAATCCTGATAACTGACTATCAAAATTCACAAGAAGAACAAATCTTACTACTTACTCCCTCCTTCTCTCAATAGTAATGATTTTTGTTAGTTGCAACATATTAACACTAGTAGATAATTTGCTTATTACTACAAATTTTTTTCCTACAGTAAGAAACCGTAATAAAAGGTACTTTTTACTACGGAAGAATTTTTAAGTCGTAGTAAATACTAGAATTTACCGTAGCAAAAAAGTATTTGGTACGGCCATGTACCGTAACAAAGCTTTTGTCACGCCCGTATATGCTACGGGGCAAATTCGTAATAAATGCGTAGCAAGTACGTATTTGATACATTTTGCTACGGTTAATGATCGTAGTAGAAAGTTTTTTTTCTACTAGTGTAAGAAACTCAATAAATATGTATAGATAGTAACAAAAAGTATAGCAAATCAGTAAAATGCCCATGTCGTTAATTGATTTTAACTAATTATATTTCAATTAATTATGAGTGAGAAATGGCAAATTGAAAAAAATGCAATTAATGATTCATTGGTATAGTAAAATGACAAATAATTT